TCTGTTTAGCTTGAAATTAGATGACGCAGTGTGAATTGTCCAGGATTATTATTGTTAATGATGCAGATTCTGGAGGAGAAAATATTGGCAGTAATGTAATTTAATAATGGCTCCATTCATGTCACAGGTGTCCATAGAATATATAACTATACTATATAGAACTGTACTATATAATATCATCATCATCATCATCTCAGTCCGGAAGACGTCTACTACTGAACAAAGTAAGAACTTGAATGCTGCCTTTTTGTTAAAATGCATTCATATCTATTTATAAAAAAGGGTGACTTCTATAAATTTTCTGTGAGAGATCCTGGAAAACTTGTGTTACCAAAAATGAGAACACGTTTGTATCACAGTAATAGTTATACCTGTTGCATAAATATATATAATAAATTACCAACTACAATTACAAATCTTTGTTTAAAATGGTTCAAAGACAAATTAATGAAATGGCTGATAAATAAGTGTTTTTACTCAGTGAAAGATTATTTTACTTGCAAAATAGATGATTTTTAATAATAACTATAAATATTGACAGTAATTAATTAATATATATATTTAAATATATTTGTGGGTATTCGTAATGTAATGACATAATTTTATATTAAATTGAATATGATTTAATTTGAATATTTGCATACCTCTAAGGGGTGCTGCAGGTCATGTACTTTTATTAGTTAATAAGATCCGAAACTACCATGTAGCAAGCAAATAAATAAATTATTATTATTATTATTATTAAAGGCCTCCCCCAAAAATCTCCAAGACGATCGGTCCTGCGCCGCTCGCATCCAATGCCTTCCAGCAATCTTGACCAGATCGTCAGTCCACCTTGCTGGAGGCCTTCCCACGCTGCGTCTTCCGGTCCGCGGTCGCCACTCGAGGACTTTACTGTCCCAGCGGCCGTCTGTCCTACGAGCTATGTGCCCTGCTCATTGCCACTTCAGTTTTGCAATTCTTCGGGCTATGTCACTCTGGTTCTTCAGCGGATCTCTTCATTTCTGATTTGGTCACGCAGAGAGTATTTATTATTTTTTTTAATTTATATTATTTTTTCTCGACTTTCGCCGGTAATCTTGGTATGTACGGGCCTAAGCCAAGTACATAACAATGTTCTATTTCAGGTGGATATACCATAATACAAATGTAGGCCTAATCTGTTTGTAGAAATTTTCTAACAATGCGGCATGTGTTTAGAACTGCAGCCTTCTGTAGTTGGCAGTATATATTAGGGGGCAAGTTCAGGGTATTTAGTGACTGATGCTTATTATTATTATTATTATAGTGTAGTATTTATTATTATTATTATTATATTAATTAACACAGTTAAATTAAAATTTTAATATTTATACACACATTTATGCATTATGAGGTAAAATTGCATTTTGTCAGTAGGACTTTTTTTTATACTACAATCGTGGCCAACAAGCACACGGTCCATCTGATGGTAATTGGTTACCGTAGCCTATGGACGCCTGAGATACCAGGGGTGTCACGTGTGCATTGCCGACCCTTAAGAAACCTTAAGATACCCTTCTTGAAAAACCCCACGCTGTAGTCTCGTGAAAAAACCTCGGCAGGCAGTTCATTCCAAATCTAATTGCACGTGTGCACAATAACCAGGCATGTGTTTAACTACTAACTATTGTATACAAAATATAATATAATATATATGTACTTATTTCGTAATTTAGCATCCCCTCCAGAGGAAATTAAACAAATAAAACTTTGGTCGTATCAAATCGCGGCTGAAGTACTAGTTAATATCATAATCCAAATAAACACAATAGAGAAACAAATAAAATAAAAAAAAAACAGGCATGTGTTCCAACCAGTAATACCTGGTATCGTATCATACAGTACCATTTTTTATTTTAGTCAAGATTAACTAGAAGAGATTTCTCACTAGGATGTGTACGCTATTGTATCAATCTTCTACATGATTCCTATGTAAATTTATGTAAAATAAAGATTTTACAATATAATTATCTCAGATATACTAACATCCATTATTTATATATTTAAATGTAAATTTAATATTGCGCATGAAATATAATTAAATTTCCATAGAAAATTACAAGAATGGTAGGGTAAAGTTTTTTTTTAATTTCAGAGGACAAAACTAGCAATATCTCTGAAAATAATTATTACCTACTAGCTTTTGTATTTAATTTTTTTTGTCGATTTTAGTTTTTGCGTGAGAGATCAATCCATCCACCCATCCATAATCTCAAAATTTCGCGTTTATAATACTAATACTAATTACATAAACGTAATTATAATATCGCAATCAAATTTATTATTAGTTTTTTTTTATATTATCAGTATATTAAGTCAAGTAAAAACTTTGTAGCACTTTTTATAAAAAATGCGCGAACGGAGATGTATGAAATTTCTTACACTTATAGCTTGTATCTTTTTGTATTCTTTATTATGGTCGACTAGTAAAATGGAATAAAGATTTTGACATTGTCCCTGGATTTCATCAATTTCGACAAGCAGTAGGTTATTTAAAAACAGTTCGTAATAATATCTACGAAAATATTTCTACATAAATAGTTTTAGTAAGTATCTACAGCTGAGTTAAATAATAGTTCTAATTTATGAGTGTGTATAATTTCTATATAAATGTAACTGGCAGCCTACAAATATGTGCGTTGCCATATTCGTAAAAACATAATAAAAAAGAAAGATAAAAAAAGAATAAAATTCAAAAATTAGCAGAGACATTAACGCAACATTGCATTTTTATTTCATAAACATAATTAAATATCTATCAACCATCCCTCAAATCCTCGATTTAGGTTTAAACAGAGTGTTTGTTACTGGTAATGTCGTACAAAAATAAAACGTTCTGAAACAGTTTCGCAAAATACAAATACTTAAAAGCCACAAGAAATTATTTTAATTTCATGAACATTAGCAAATATGTAGACTTGCAGAAAATAAGTATTTAAAAAGCAACAGGCGTTTATAGTACACATGTAATAAAACAGATGTCGCTAGTGGTAGATTCTTGCGTCCTTCTATTAAAGACATCAACGTGATACGGTTCTTAAGAAAGTATGATCCTAAAATATTTACAGATAAAGTAACTTAAATAAGGAAATACGACTTTTATACGGACGGTAGGGAAAAATTATAATATAAAAGAAAATTACGTTCATAAGCGGCGAAAATGTCCTACTTCATGTAGGACATTTTCGCCTTTCCTTTCGCCTAAATGATTTAATAATTTGAATTTGAATTCTAATATAATGATTATGGTGTGTTCCCCAACAAATGTTTTTTAGATAATAAAATTTGATACTTATTATACGAATTATTAATAATAATAATCTCAGGACAATTAACACAGCGCCATCTAGACGCAAGTTAAGCTAGCTAAAGCTACTAAATACCTGATACAAATACATAGATAATTTTTTTTTCGTAAATTCATACATATAAATAGAAAACACCCAGACCGATACAAACAATCATACTCATGAATACAAATGTTTGTGCAGTGCAAGGAATCGAACCCGCGACCATCGGACGTAAAGCGTGGTGTTAGACCGCTATACCACCGAGGTCGTCGTAGATTAAACTTATTAAGCGTATTTGACAAAATTGCAACTATATTCTCTCTAATTTGAATTAAAAATGATACACTTAGATGTACAAGTTAATTAGAAAATAACAAGATCTGAGTTTCTTTTAAATTCTTCTCACCTCGAAAGCACTTCTGACGGTAGATTTGACATATCACAAGAGTCTGTAATGGACCTGCATGAATCCATCATAATCGTGAGCGGATGATGCTCGTGGGGACTGGGCTGTTCAGGGTACGAACACTGATTAGACTATTTGCTACTGTAATAGCATATGCTGGTGGTCACTATATTCTCCCAAATTTGAATTTAAAAATGAATCTGTATCATTTTAAACATGTACAACATTTTGAAAAGAATACGAGCTGAGTTTCTTGTCAGTTCTTCTCATCTCGAAATCATTTAGAAGTAACGGTGTATTTGACATATCATAAAAGTCTGTAATAGACCTACATGAATAATGATATTTTGATTAGATTATTGCAAACGTTTTAGTCCTTCTATAGTTTAAGAAAAATGATAAAAAAGTCCTCCTGAATATATTGGTGGTCTCATAAATGTCACATGATAACGTGGCATCTGTGATGCTGTTCTTATAGGTGTACTAGCTGTCCCGACAAACGTTTGTTTTGCCTTAAAATAAAAAAAAAATTAGGGGTGGACTACCCCTAACATTTAGGGGGATGAAAAATGATGTTGGCCGATTCTCAGACCTACTCAATACGCTCACAAAATTTCATGAGAATCGCTCAAGCCGTTTCGGAGGAGTATGGGAACGAAAACTGTGACACGAGAATTTTATATATAAGATTGAAGACAGTTCACATTATAAAGAAACGTCCTCCTGAATGGCAAAGTATTAATGGTCTCATAGGCGTCACGTGATAATGATTACTATGATGCTGTTGGCTTAGATGATGGCTACCACCTACCACCAGAATAAATATGCCATTTCTGTTACAAGAACAAAATATAGCTATGCAACTTTTTCCATTAATTAGCTTATCACTTTATTATCTATACATCTATACATATAAATAAAAAGTGTAAATATTGAAATAACCGTTTTTTACTACACGCATATGAATATAAATACGGTACATACACCAAAATAACATTTTTTACAATTTTTGTCTGTCCGTCTGTCTGTCTGTTTGTTCCGGCTAATCTCTGAAATGGCTGGGCCGATTTTGACGGAACTTTTATTAGCAGGTAGATGATGTAATATGGAGTGGAGTAACTTCTTCTTTCGTTTCAACAACTAAATATATTTCCCCAGAACGTGGCGACGAGGAGTAACTTAAGCTACTTTTATTTTAGAAAAATAAAGTTAAATTCCACGCGTGTACCAGCGGGTGCAGCTAGTTCTTAAATAAAAAACAATTTTTTTCAGTATTTCTCATTATTCATGAATACTTTAATAAATACATTTACTGCTTAATAACTATTTATACAAGTGATACAGTAAAGGCAGTGATTTAAAGTTTATTTTCTTGTAAAGCTCACTCACATGTTGTTTTAAGGTACTAAAATTCGATTCCTGACATATGTGAAGATACACAAAAAATATATTATACTTATTATATACTAAAATGTTTACACTCTTAATATATGTATATATGTACATAGACAAATAAATATATAGTCGATGCATATTGCATATATATATGTTACATAAGCACCACTATAAAAACAATAACCCAATCATAAGAATGTTTACAACCAACATATATATTTCTATCATTAATATATATCGACCCTTTCTTTCTAATCCGATAATCAGCTTGAGAGAAAGAGAGAAATGCTTCACAAATATATTTTGAGCATTTATGAACGTATTACATACTCATGAATAAAGCATATTGTTTTAACTTGTGTCTATTACTATTACATCGTGAACTTAGATCATCAAATGTACGCACAAAAATTTACATCGATACAACATGTGTTTAAAAAAGAGTAGTAAAAATTCCCTACCGATTCGTGACAGTCCACTACTGTTATAGTCCCATACATAAACATATAAAATTCTAAGTACTAAACGAAATTTGGACGTGAGTGAAATTTGCAAGTAACATAACTTAATATAATCTAAATCTTCAAGTAAGTACTATATTACACAACGGCAAGCATTATTCAGTTATATATCAAAAATAAGTATGTAATAATAATAGTAATAGTCTAAGAATATCGTTGTTCATATTTATTATTAACTTATTAATTCACAACACTATTGTTTGATCATAAAAATAATTTCATCAATATGTTTATTATATTCATATATGTATCTATAATTAAAAATTGAATCTGATTCATTATGATCATGTACAAGCTCATTTGAAAAGAATAAGAGCTGAGTTTCTTTTCAGTTTTTCATAGCTCGAAAGTACTCCGAAAAACTGTAAATTTCACATACCATAAGAGTCTGTAATAGACCTACAGGAATAGAGATATTTACATTTAATTTCATTTGAGTATAATCTTAAGATTCACGATTATTAAGAAATAAAAAAATTACTTCTTTGACGTCAGACGTTGGTTAGACTATGCCTGTTTTGTTATTTCCTTTATTTAAGTTTAATATAAACGCACATAAGTATTTACAATATAGAAACATATATTGGTTTCAAACGAATATCACCCTTATTTATACTAATACTGGCGTAGTTATTCCGTAACACTAGTTCTTTGTAACTTTACCACCAATAACCGTGATGCCCGTATCCACCGTACGGCCAGTATCCGTATCCGCCGTAACCACCGTATCCGCCGTATCCGCCGTATCCGCCATAGGGCCACCCGCCCCAATAGCTACCGTAATAGGGATATCCCCAACCACCGCCGCCCCAATGTCCGCCGTATCCTCCCCAATGTCCACCCCAATGGGAGGCTGCAGTTTTGAGGTCTTCCTTCTCGGGAGTTTCAAGGTCGTCTTTCTGAACTTCCACGTCTTCTTTCGCAGCGGGAGCTGCTAAGCATGCTGCTAGAAGTAAAAATGCAGCGACGAAGAAGATGATCTGGAAATATAAGTACTTTTAAATTTCTTTATTAAAAGTTCAATTCGACCCGGCTCGACCAACGTACAGATATTTGTATTCATGAGTATGATTGTTTGGAATGGCCTGGGTGTTTTCTATGTATAGTATGTATGTACTGACAAAAAAATATCGTTGTATTTATATCAATTGTACCCAAAACACAATCTCTGCTTAGCTTGGGACTAGAAATGTTGTGCAAGTTGTCGTGAAAACAAAAATGTTAGCGACATAGACTTTGTATAAAGTAATGTACGTTGGTACTAGGTACTAACGCAGCACTTTATAAATTTACTGCCATTTCTCACCCATCAGTTGAAACAGATACCTATTTTTGTCATTAAGCAACCTGCATCTTTAAGTTCCTATTCGTTTAAGAAGTGGGATAAGGCAGTGGACATTACCGGATATAGAGACATGATTCTATGAAACTATGAACTTCTCCCAGATTGTCTGTAAGAGATTGCTTTGAGCGATACGGCCGCCTTTTGTTAGAATAGTTTTATATGAAGTTCTGTTTAGGTAAATATGTTTTTTTTAATGCACAACAAAAAGTATTATTATTATTATTTATATTTTGTCTCTCCAGTAATTTAAACACCAATACTGCGGAGGAAAGGAGCTTGTTAGTAATTCCTGGTGAATTTATCACGATATCCTAACTGATCTGACATAATGTTCATTTTATCATCCTCCAATGGTGCCCCGCCAGCATATACCGATAGCGTACGCGGGGCACCATTTCATATTTATATTTAAAAAAATAAACACAAATTTGTCTGTCAAACTGAGTGATAGAAAGATTAGGTTTCTGCTATTTTGGATTCAAATATTCTAAGCTACGACAAGACTTACAAGAACTGAAACTACGCATGTAGTTTTTACCAATGTGTCCGACTACGTTATTTGATAATAAACTCATATACAAGAGAAAATTCGATTAAAATTTCTGAGTAATTAATTTTTTGTTCGTGTTTGACTTAGGTTCTAAACTTTTTGTTCGTTTTATTGATGTTGTTATTTTTTTTCTTCATGTTACGGGTAAACTAGATTAATATTGGCGTTTTCAGAAACGTCCAATTTATATTCTTTATCAATAATTATGTTTTCATTAAATTGTAACATATACGGGAATTATATTATTTAGAAATAGGACTGATAGAATTTAATTTTTTATTGTAACTTAATCGATTATTGGTAGTAAGTTTAAATATAGAATCATCAGAGAGTTTACCAGACTAATAAAAAGGTGAAGAAAAACACCGATAACAAACTTAATAAACTTTTTTTTAAGTTATAGGTACAGTTACTCGGCTATCTCGTCGTCGTTATCATCTCATGATCCCCCGCATCACGTTGCGGTTTATTGACCTACTGATTTTGTGTAAGAATTTGTATGCGTTGACACTCAAATATTAATTAATGAGGGGAACTGCCGGAAGAAGCTGTGTCTGGAAAATGCAGTGTCGACAATTATGTCGATAATAATGTAATGGTACACTCGCCTGCGCTGACTGTCGTTTATGCTGGCGGAACACCAGTGGCGGATGATAAGATGAACATGAGGTCAGGTCAGTTAGCCCATTGTGACAGATTCACTATGAATTTATCATACTGGTTTCCAGAAGAAATCGTGTAGTGGTCTATCTAACATGGTATATTGCTAGCAATGGGGTCATCAGTCCACATTACTAGCAATTCCTTTCCCCATAGTGTCGACAGTTTATTACCCCATCTGGGATTATTGTCGCTTGGATATATAAATATATATTTATGTTCTTAAGATGTAATTTAATAATGGCAACAGGTGGTTAGTTTATATGTAACATACGCATAAATAACAGTATTACGAGCGTGTATCGCATGCCACTACGCTCGGTAAATACACACTTTTTCCAGTGTTTCACACGAAAACATATTACAGCAATTACGTGCGTAAAACAATGACACCGGGCTCGACTGTTTGGTATCTGTTTATTGACATGTGCACACTTATTTATATAAAATATAAAAAAAATAAGATATGAGTTGATCCGGCTCGAAGGACCAAAGTTTTTTCATTCGAAAATTTCTAATGTCATTGACCGCAGCTGGTCTTTACAGCTTCACAGAATGATAAGCAAGTGCAGATGGCACATCAAACCACGCGGCTGAAAGCCAACATGTGCCTGAAGGATACTGCTTTAGTCTGAGGGCATCGCTAGCGGTTCGAACTTCGGCACAGGTCGTCGTAATTGCGAACCCCGTTTGAATTAGACGGGGGACCAATGAATTTTGGGCTTTAGGCCCATGTTCTGTGATATTGATTGATTGATGCTAAAACTTGATGAGAGGTATTTTTACTTAGAACCCCATAGGCTTAATACTACTCGAACACTGACTTTATTGCTAGTGAAAAGTACAATAAGACGAAATGCATTATGAAATGAAATTGTATGGGTTGACTATTAAATAGTGCACAGTAAGCAGGCTTGTACGGTTGCCCGTTTAGGAAGTTTGAAAATGAAATATTATATAATGTATCAGAATATATCAATGTTATAATTTTGGGTTTGTTCCGTTGTTTTTAAAAAGGTGAAATAACTTTGGCGCCAAAATGTAAAAAAACATAATATTACAGAGATCAGAAGTGAACTGTAGAGAAAATATATATATTGTCATATTTATTACATAAATACGTTATAACTATACTTTATAAATAGTTTTCAAAGTGATGTAATGTACAAATATATTTAAGGCTACAAATTAAAGATATATGTTTAGTGATTACAGTTTTAATTGTTAATATAGAAGATTCCCCAAATAAATAAATAAATGTTTTTGAAACTTTTGGACATATCAAGTAATCTTAGAACTACTAATCGGATTTAAATGAAATTTGAAAATACAGACAGATCGTTTTTCAGATTTATACATACATATTTTTATATTTACAACACGCGGAATAGAGCCGAACTAATAACATAAGATTACTCAATAAATATAAATATTTATTAGTAAGTAAATTTAAATAATATTAGTAAAAAAATATTTGAGTCATGTAAATACTAGTATTTATTATATCGCCATTGCATGAATTTATTTCATAATTTAATTATATTTTTAATACTAAGTTTTTATTCTACAATAACTGTTAAGCAAACAAACTATTTTTCTGATCAATAAATTGTAAAATAAAATAAAATTTATTGTACAGTAAAGTTACTCTATTTCATTACTATAAATTTATGATCCATTTATATTCGTAATAACTCATCAACGTCCACTGTAAGCCGTGAATTGATATAAGGATTATGGTTTATAACTACACTGGCCAGGCGGCTTGGTATATGGATGTAGTTTCACATATTGCTTCTTTTGCACTAGCTTAGATAAAATAATTCTACTAAATTTAAAATACAATAAAAAAATAATCGCTGTTAAAAAAAGTACTGTTTAAATTACGATTTTATTTAGAGAATACGTCTCGAATAAAATAAACAAAAATTGTTTAGAATATTACAGACTGACTTAAACTTAAGTTATATTCATAATAAATTTCAAAATTAGAAAAATGTTATCTTAAATAGAAAAACCGAATTCTAAATTTGAAAATAAATATTGATAATTACTTCTTGTTGACCGCAAATTTTAGCATTTTTTTTTATTTTGAAATAAAAAAAATATTTTAATTATCCAGATTCTAAATTTGAAAATAAAAATTAATAACTACTTCTTGTTGACCGCAAATATTTGCATTATTTTTATTTTGAAATAAAATAATAAAATATTTTGACTTTCCAGATTCTAAATTTGAAAATAAAAATGATTAATTACTTCTTATTGACCGCAAATTTTAGCATTATTTTTATTTTGAAACAAAACAAAAAAGTATTCAAAATTCCAGATTCTAAATTTGAAAATAAAAATTAATAATTACTGACCGCAAATTATAGCATATTTATTTTTGATTTAATTAAAAAGACTTTTGTTAGCCGTGCAATTTTAATTTTAATAATCTTATAAAATATTTGTTAATAATTCCCAATATCCAAATGTGTATGACTTACATTTCTGGACGTCATGTTGCCGTGTCTGCGTGTCCACACTGCCTATGGCGTAAACACGCCGCTGTTATATATGAACGGAGCGTCCTAGACTTGCACGGATGAGTGGCTGGCTTCCTTCACCATTGTCATGATATGCTATTGACCTCATAGGATTAGGTCGGGAGCGATATGAGCGGCCATCTCATGGGGTATGAACGTTGAAACATCATCTATTTACGTATTTAACTGAAACGCTCCTTTTTACTAATATGCGTTTTTTATTGATGATAATGGAATTATGCACATACGTCCGCTATCGGATCATGCTGGAAGGGTACCAGTGGAAGATAATAAAATGAGAATATGGGCAGGTCAATTTGGCTGTCTTTGAAAATGGTAATATACCACAACAGTTTCCAGGGGGAAGCGCGTGGAGGTCAACCTGACATGCACCCTTTACTAGCAATAGGGTTAATAATTAATGAAACCACATTACTAATATTATAAAGGCATTATTATTAAGGCGTTTGGGTTATCACTCTGAAGACTACGACCATAGTAGATCATATATCTATTTTTTTTTAAGGATGATAATGGAATGGAGCACCCGCCTGCGCTAACGGTTTACGCTGGCGGGACACCAATGGAGAAGTTTCCAGGGGGAAGCGCATGGAGGTCAATCTAACTTATTACATTAATAGCAATGGGAAAAAAAAATGTGGACTTATACATTTTTTTTTGTATGTGATAATGAAATGAATAATGTTAGACATAGACACCTATATAAATACCTATGCATTGTAAATAAACTGTATTTAAAAAAAAAAGTAATTCAATTTTCTTGCCAGTTCTTCTCAATTGGACCTATATACCGAACTGGACGGTAGGGGAAAAAAATATAATGTAAAAACTTGACGTTCATAAGCGGCTAAAATGTCCTACATGAATAAATGATTTTTGAATTTGAATTTGAATTTGAAAGGTTTACGCTGGCGGGGCACCAGTGGAGGATGATAAGATGAGCATGAGGACAGGTCAGTTAGCCCATCGTGACAAATTCACCTGGAATTTATCTCGATGGTTTCCAGGGGGAACAGCGTGGAGATCAACCTGACATGGTACATTGCTAGTTATAGGATCAAGTGTCCACGTTACTAACAATCCTATTCCCCCCATAGATCTATTACGCAGGTCGTAGTCCCTTTTCGTCGTAGTCGTGACCCCTTTTTTAGAAGCCGCTTAGGTCCGTCAGGGACAAGAATTGAAGGATATTCTTAGAAGCGATACCATCACTTCTTTATCTCCGCAAGATAGTGTGTACTTTACCAAAGGAGATTCGTTTGTGCATGAGTGGGCTACTACCAGATGGGATGTGTAGTGGCGGATTCTCTTCTATTTGTCAAAATCTGCAAATCTTTGCTAATTACAGGCCTAGGTTGTTGTTTATTTAATTTGCAGCAAGGGCCCGTAGTCATGATCATCTTTTCTAGTCACAAGTCTAGGTATTCCATGGGTTTATTTAATTGCAGTGAGCAGTGAGTCCCTTAATCACAATGTGTATATTGTTTTATTAATTAGAGTTTTTACTAGAATAATAAGTAGCTCATTATTATAGCTTTTGAATGTACTAAACCTGTCGCTTTCTGCCTGTGATTTAGAGCTTCCTGCTTAGTTATTGTTATAAGATGTTCCTTCTTTAGCCATCGAGGCACGTCACACAAGGGTCCGGAATCCTGTTGGATAGTTTTTCATTCTAACTTTGCCCGTTGGCCAGTATTTTCATTGCCTTCAATGTTCAAGTGACCGGGGATCCATCTTAACGTCATATTATCATGTACAACGTTTATTTAAAGAATACGAGCTGAGTTTCTTGTCAGTCATTCTCATTTCGAAATCATTCAGAACTGACACATCATAAGAGTCTGTAACAGACCTACATGAATAGAGATATTTTTAGTTTGAAATTTGAATTTGAATTATTCCTAATTCTTACTTAATTTAGTAGCAACATATATTTTCTATGGATATATAGATTTCGTACGAGTGTACTGCTGCAGAGCTACTCGTCAGTCCGAATAAATATATATTCTGTTTGATATATTTAAGGCTTAAATTCTAATGAGTTTAGTTCGGATTTCGTACAAGTGTAGTGCCAGCGGAGTAGCTTTGTTTTCCGAATAGATGTGTATATTTAAATTAATGTAGTTAGGGCTTAGAATTACTTCCAAACATCTTATATTTCACTAGTATGGATAGGTGGATATTTGTTACTCTTTCACGCAAAAACTACTCAACGGATTTTGATGAAACTATAGTAATACCTATAGCTTATACATCAAAATAACACATAGGTTATATTTTAAAAAGATATTATTATAATTACTTATAATAATCCCACTGCAATTGCAATTGTTTGATTCGACTTTCTATCTGAAAAGTAATCGACCAAGTATACATAGAGTACTCAGTTTTATTTTTTTTTAACCCTAGGTAATAATAATTAACACAGCGTCATCTCGTCCCATGGTAAGCAGAGCTTGTATTATGGGTACTAGACAACTGATATAAATACTTAGTTTTTTTTTGTGCTTCGCTACCTTAATATAATAAAAAAAAATTAGCAAGTATTTGTTTAACTGTGTATTTATAATACAGCAAAATTAAGTACTAATTGGAATTTTAAAAAAATGTGTGCAAAAAAGGCCCTAAAGACACCGGCACCCAGATCAGTAAGTAGTTTTTTTTGTAAATAAACACATAATATACATAGAAAACACCCAGACCGATACAAACAATCATACTGATAAATACAAATATTTGCACCGCGCGAAGAATCAAATCCGCGACCATTGGATGTAAAGCGGTGTGAAACCACTAGACCATCGAGGCGTAATTAAGATAGTACTATAAGTAATTTCATATTTATAATCGATTCATATCTAAACAGACAATTATTTAGTTACAGCTAATTTACATAAGTCAATTATTGGTTAATTTTCCACTCAACTGATCGGTGCATTCAACAAGAAACTTAGTATGCACACGTACCTGTCCAACAATGACAATAAGTTTTTAATTATATGTATTTTAAAAGACATTTCTCAACGTAATTAATTTAATTTAAATTTATTATTATTATTTTTTTCTCTTCTTTTATATATTTAAAAGAAGGTAATACTCACCTACACGGGCCTTAGCCAAGTGTGGGAGAGGTTGTGCTGGGTGAAGATATTGTTGAGGAGGTTAAGAATTTTCGGGTTATGCGACATGTTATTATTATTATTTATATTTATATAATATTACTTATATTATTTACAAAAATACATCTACTATGTGGAATGATGAATGATTGACTTACACATGTAAACTATGATGAGATAAGGTCCCTAGTCTAGTTTGCCTATTTTGAGGCAACAGAAGTATGTAAATCTTTTTAATATTATAAACGCGAAAATTTGTGAGTATGGATGGATGTATGTTAGTCTTTCACGCAAAAACTACTTAACGGATTTTGATGAAACTTTACAGTAATATAGCTTATACATCAGAATAAAACAGGCTATAATTTAAAAATGTAGTATAAAAAATACAAAAATATAGTGATAAATGTCAAGTAAGTGTGATGCAGACGCAGTTGCGCAGGTCTCAGTAGTTTAGTTTCTCTGATTGTTTCTGCGGTTTCATCTGCATGAAATTTATAATCTATGTATTATATCAGCTATATTATTGTAAAGTTTCATCAAAATCTGTTCAGTAGTTTTTCTGTGAAGGAGTAACAATCTATCCGTTAATCTATGCATCGCGTCTTTAATATTAGTAAGATGGTCGCAGGTTCGATTCCTCGCACGGTACAGTTATTTGTCATTATGAGTGTTCTATGCATCTTTCTGGATGTTTTCTATGTATTTGTTTAAAAAAAATGTGTGTATTTATACCAGTCGTCTAGTACTAGTACCCTAAACCATAAACTCTGCTTAGTTTGGGACTAGATAGCGCTGTGTGAATTATCCTGAGATATTATTACTATTATAAAATTCTCTTTTTTGTATCGGCTAGATTTGAACTCACGACCTTTAGGTTGTGAACCACTACCCTGCAATAGATTACTGCAGCAATATCAGTATACATCGTAAACAATGAAGTATATAAAGTAGATACAACAAAAAGTAAAAGGGAAATTAAATTACACGCCGCACTAGCATATCTTTAAGGTAATTATTTTTTTGCTGTCCTAAAACCACCTATGAAAACTGGCGGAGTCATCTCTAAGTGTACTCTTTTTGCTCGGCTGTGTACTTTAAATGCCTTTATTACATGAGTATGACTCGTGTAATTTTGTCATATATTTAAATAAATAAATACCTTGGACAATTTACACAGCGCCATCTATCCTCAAGCTAAGCAGAGCTTGTCTTATGGTTTGGTGTTTTTTGTGCTTCGTATGTATTAAGGTAAATACATAAAAAAAACTAGCAAGTATTTTTCTGTATATTCATAATACAGTAAAATTAAATATTAGGTTGGAATTTAAAAAAAGGAGCTTAAGGCACCGGTACACAGATCAGTAAAAATATTTATTAAAAAAAAAGATATAGGATAGAAATAATGAAAGTGACACAAATCTATGTAACTGTAAGTCTATATGTAATGAAGTCTAGGATGAATTATCCATATCCTAATGCTATTAGGTCTGTCATTAGCTTGTTTGCCATTAGAATAATATCTATATATCTACTAATATCACAGAGCTGAAGTTTGTTTGTTTGAGCGCGTTAATCTCAGGAGCTACTGATGCGAATTGAAAAATTACATTTGTGTTGGATAGTCCATTTGTCTAAGAAAGGTTTTAAGGTATATCACATTACGCTAGGACCAATAGGAGCGGAGCTGCAATGAAAAATATTGCAAAAGGTGCGGAAATGAAAGACAGACGATGATGCGTGGTTCATCTTTTAAAAATATAAACAGAAGACTGTTGAAAAAAAAACACCAGTAAATAAAATCCCAAACAACAATGAGACTAACATTTGTCGTGCGTATAATGTTTATTGT